GCCCGTAGACTAAATAAGGTGTTCAGCTTGAAATTCCCTGAATGTTAGCCAGATCGACAAGCGTCTGAAGAAGGCCGGTCAGCTCAAGTGCCGAAACGTTTTGTCAATAACAGGTGAGGACAAATAGCCCGTGTGTAAATAATGTAAATGCAAATCAATGTTAATTTATAGGGGTTTGATGCTTTTCAATTGCAGCCTGAGAGCCCTATAAAAATAAAGCTCTCCAAAGATCAGTTCTTGATAGCTCCGTAGGTGCTGAGAGTGATAGTTCCTTTCCGACACTACCCGCATATATGCGCGCGGTGTTCAATCCTCACCTTGTGTCAAATCTAGTTGTGTTGGGTAGAGGTCAACTGTATATGTTGTAATTAAAGAAAAACAGGCTTTGTTTTTTGACCGAATCTCGTAACATTTATTACTTTTACGATGTTTTTTTTTATGTTAAAGTTTTGCGCGAGATGCCGTACGATATTAGTTACATGCGTTTTAGTAGAATGCGTTTAAAACTAAAATCTTTAGTTTGAAAATAAGCACCCCCCCCCGCTCTCTAATGGGTTCGGAATTAATTAAAAAATTCCAGTATCATGATAAATGGCTGTGCCTCAACACTGTAACTGAAACAGGAAATGTCGCATTCTTTGAAAAAGCACCAAGTACAGAAAAGAAATTCGTGGACGTTACTGCAGTAAAAGATCGGAAAAAGCAGCAGACAAACTAAATTCATTGTGAAAGAAAGGAAGAGGAATAGCCTGGAAGAGCGCAGATGAGTGTGTGATTATATTATAGGTATTATAGGGACAAAAGTATTATAGAAAAATAACTCTATTCCAGGGTATGACGATGAACTACATCCAGCAGCAAGGTCTTCGGCAGGAGACTGGAGGTTTTGAGGTGCATGTGACCACCTCTTAATTGCTGCTCTTCTCAGATCCATTCTGATTCGGGTGGTAGTATCTGTTAGGGTCGCAGCTATTGGCAAATAGTGATCACCCCCCCCCCAAACAAAAACAAAACATTATGAAAGCATAAAAATACCAACAATACCTATTTATAATAAAATTACTGACCATACCTATTCATAGTATATATTTAGTTGAAGCCATAAAATTGTATTCAAATTATTTAGCTTTCGGCATTAAATAAGCCATAGAGGTTGAAATGCCGCTAAACAAAAATCAACCAACCAACAAAACCCTATTATGGAGACAACACTAACTTTTATGTGCCACAGTTTCCCCCGTTCCCGAGCGAGGTTTCTAATCTTTCGCTTTCATTCGTCTCTATTCTGTGGTCCGCTGAAACAGCTTCCTTCATAATCTGGCAGGTCTTGCTTTCTATGTTTACGACATTCTCGTTTGAATGGAGCAGTCGGTCTAAATACCAGAGACCTAAATTGTTTTATTCTTTTATTTTTCTTCCTGTTTGTGTTGATGCCATTTCTTCACACAGTCAGATGTTGAATTTTAGTATAGTTCTTTTAGTGTACCTACTCTGCCTGAATGCCTGTTTCGTCATTATTCCATATCTTGAAAAATATTCAGTACCTTATGCTGCTCCAGTACGTACCTGATATGATCTATCTTAACAAAAGCCAGATAAAACCAACAATAGAATATTGTTGCTATATCTAGCTTGGAGATGCTATATCTTCACTTGATAGATTGATCTGTTTTTTACGGCTTATCAACACTGCAGGTAATTTAATATCTGGAGATATATTTCTTTCAGATTTTAAGAATTTTTTTTAGATAATAATAATTTAGTGATATAAGTCTTACTAATTAACCCATAGCTGGGGAGAGAAGAGATGGATTCTTACCTTTCCAAAGAGTATTTGCGTATATAACGATACCGACTGGGATTAGAACTCAGCTCTCTGATTAACAATTCCATGTCTTTATCCATTGCACCACCCGCACATCTAATCTTACAGCACCTGGTATCCCCACGCGGTCACCCATCTAGGCACTGACCAAGTTGCTTAGCTTCGGTGATCATACTGGAATCGCTGTTTCAACGTGATGTGGCCGTAAGCCCTTCGCGTGACAGAACTGTTTAAGAGACCTTGTGGCCAATGACGATACGTCGCTAGCCTATCACTAGTCTACCGCTATTTCCATGGCAAATGTTCGGACGCACTACAGCCACATTCTTTTGTATCCATCATTTAATACGTTTTCGACTATGAATCTCCATGCCAATAATTTTCAGTCCATTGGTAAAAAGGAAATTCCATTCGGACAGCTTCTTCCAGAGAACAGCTGCTCAGGAAATAGACTCCCGAGAGGATGCTTGCCTAATCGCTACAATCTTAACATTTCAAATCTAAGGTCAACCATTTTCTATCCTCATAGTCCTCACTTACTTTCTCCTCTTACGTCCATACAATAAATTCACTCAGTAACTGGTGTGGATTCCGTGAATGGAATCCTGCACAAATAAATAAACAACGCCAGTAATTGAGATAGAAAAATAAGTGTATTAAACGTAAGAATACAGACTTGAAGTGAAGATTAGTAGTCCAGGAATGCGGGTTAGTAGAAAGTATATGTAAAAATCTCTGTAAGTAAAGCCGTAATATATATATATATATATATATATATATATATATATATATATATATATATATATATATAAAACTAGACTCGTTTTCGAAAAACCCTCGAATTTTTGATTTGCTAATCAAATCAATCTCGAGGGAAAAAAAGGTTTTAAAAAAACTACAAACATGGACTTCTGCCGACAAAAAAATCGCACAGATGCAGGTCTGAAGCCCAAAGAAAAAACCCCGATACGAGTAACAACTAACTAACAAAAGAGCTCAATACAACCGTAGACCTAGACCTATATATATATATATATATATATATATATATATATATATATATATATATATATATATGGACTCTTGTATAACTCTCTGAGAGCACCCTGTGTCTGTCTGCGTATCTCTCAACGTATCTCCACGTATCTTAACGTATCTCAACAGCAGGTATTCTCTCTGTCAGTATAAGTATACTTTGGACGAGTCCATCTTATGTAAAAAGGGGAGAGCCCCACAACAGTAACCTATAAATTTGAGTGACTTTTGGGTCTTGTATTAGGTGAATATTTAGTAAAACAAAAATCCTTCCAAGGAATTCACTTATGATACACTTTACCTGCTCATTTTTACTCCATGTATATTATTATTATTATTATTATTATTTACTTATTCATTTATTTAATTAAGAGGAGTAACGGAAAGCGGCTCGGATTGAGGAATCGGAGAGCCGAGTTCGAATTCCAGTCGAATCCATTACATTCACTTACATGCTGATACTCTTGGGAAAAGTATGAATCATCTTCTTCTCCCCCCCCCCCCAGCTATGGATTCATAGCAGGACTGACCGAGTAATAGTAACAGACTGGGTAATGTATAACCTTGGACGGCAACTTGTCTACCGCAGAAGGAAATGGCAATCTACTGCGGGAAAAAATCTGCCTCGACAAGATAGATGATCAAAAAGATACTTGTATCGAAAGATACATGATCGCCTAGCGTGTATCATGCATGTAACAAAACTGACTGATTATTATTGCTATCTACCAGAGTAAATAAAGTGAATACACTTTATTTACTCCAGTTGTCATCTGTTACAATTTTTGGATACATTAGACTACTAGTGAGCCAACCCAAATGACTTGACTCACTTTATAGTCCACCAATAGAAGGTTAACCAATCAGAAGACGTAAAGTATTCAATCCGTCGTGTATAAAAGCGGCCATTTTGTTTACTCTATCCGAATGTCCAGTGCCAGCTTGTCAGGCGAAGAGAAACAGAAGGACGAACTACGCTCTGCTACTTTTATCGAAATATCCACTGCTAACCTGAACAACGCTTCCCTACTGTCTTCGAAATATTCACTGCTAACCTCTGGATTCTATACTCGAAGACGACCGTCATCATGAACAACATCATCAAGTGACATTAATTCTCCCCACTAATTCAGAACTTTCCTCAGTATTTTAGCTGCTTTCAGTTTCGATTCTTCCTCAGATTCACTTAGGTTCCGCTAACCTTTGGGTTAAGATTTTAACGAAGCTCTAACGCAATGATCATCATATTATTTTCACAAACTATTAGCGACTGGTGGCTTATATTTCAGGTGAGATCAAAACAAGTCTCCTCAGTACTACAGGACTTTCCCTAGTATCTCAGTTCTTTTCAGTAATGATGTTGTCTTCAAGTTCCTCCAAGCTTTTGGTTAATGTTTTCAGGGTTCAATAGTGCAATGATCATCATATCAGTTTCACAAAATATTAGTAATTGGTAGCTTACACTTGAGATTAAATTAAAACAAGTCTCCTCTGTACTGCAGGGCCCACCTCAGCATGCCAGTTCTTTTCAATCATGTTGTTGCCTCAAAATTCCTCCAAGCTTTTTGTTAATATTTTCAATGTTCCATAGTGTAATGATCATCATATCAGTTTCATAAAATATTAGTAAATGATGTCTTGCGCTTGAGATAAAATAAAATCAAGTCACTTCAATAATGCAGGACTCTCCTCAGTATTCTAAATGTTTTATGTCGTTTCGAATTTTCCGGGATTTCCAGTTTTCCCAATCTTTTACTGTTTTTTGACGGCGCATCTCACAACTTCATTATTATTATTATTATTATTATTTTTATTATTATTATTATTATTATTCGAATTTATTTGTTTTGTACATTTCATGATTATTCAACTTGACATTAAGTTTTTTTTTTAAGTTAAAAAATACGAATTATTAAGAAAATAATTGAATAAAACATTCAAAGTGGTTTTTGCCTGATTTTTTCAGTGAAAAAGGACAAATGTTGCAGTTTCGATTTAGTTACAAATAAAAAAATAAATAAAATAGGGAGTTCCCGTTTCGCCCTGATAACACTGCACTCTTCGCTCCCTAAATTTGTTTCTCTATCCCTCTATCTTTCTCAGTCTGTTCATATGTTTTTATATATTTATCTATCTCAATATGTTCTTCATTCACTTCGCAATATGCTATTGGAGACTTTTCTCTCTCCCCCTCTCTCCCCCCTCTGCCCCCCCTCTCTCTCTCTTCATCCTTTTCTCAGATCAATTTCCCCACCAATCTCTTTCGTACCACTTTTTCTTTTCCCCTATCTTTCTCTCTTTCTTATCCTACACTCTTGCTTTCCTTCTTTCCTTTTCATACTATTCTCCGTTCCATAAATTCCTTATTTTTCCTTGTCCCCTCCCTTCCGACCTGACCTGTCTTACTAACTCTTCTTAGCCACGATCTTTGACCCTAACTCCACATTAGATGACAAAGACCATCCTCTTCTCGACTCCCCACTCCCGTCTCACAGAATATAATCAGTAATATTTTTATCACAGCCCGGGAAGTCGCAAGACTTCTCAAAAGTCTTGACCCTAAGAAGAAAACCGGTTCAGATATAATCCCAGTGATTATCCTTAAGAATATTAATCCTGAGTTATCCCTGATCTTAACAAAACTATTTAACTGATGCTTCTCAATTTTGTGGAATGTGTCAAGTGTATGGCACTTTTCAAAAATGCACGTGAGTGCTCATCCTCATCTCAATATAGACCCACGAGCATCCTCAGTGTCATTAGTGAACTTTTTGAAACTGTAAACAATAAGAAGGTAGTTGATCATCACAATAAGGACACTTTCTCAAGTGACAAACAGTACAGATTTCCATTGATTAGTTCCACTGCTGATATCCTGTCATTACTCACAGAATCAGTGAGGCACTAAACAAGAAATACATCTCAACGACAATCGCATTACATTTTTCAAAGTCAAGGTGTTCCATAGACGGTTGCTGATCAAGCTCTCTAGCTATGGAATCACTGGAAGAGTCTTCTCATTTATCAGATCCTTTCTCCGTGAAGATAGTTGCTCACGGCCAGTCCTGCGAGGCCCAAAGGCTCAACATAGATGTCATCCACTGCTCTCTTCTCGGCTCAACTATCTTTCTACTTTACATAAATGATCAGCCTAAGAGAGTATACTCTGATCTTTTGTGAATATCAATTCTGATTATACAACAGTACACAAGTGCACCTCCAAAACTCTAGATTACCAGAGATGCTGTTCTCTCCTCTGACCTAGCTTTAACAGCTCAGTTTGAGAAAATTGGCTGGTCACATTTAATGCCTCGAAAATCAAACTAGTGACGTTCTATCATCATGGAGCGGACATTGAATTTTTGCCTATTTTAATGAAATGGGTGTTAAGAGAGGTTCTGTGTCTTGAGAGACTGTTGGACCTTAAATTCACCCTTGACCTCCAGTGGGACTCGTACATGCGATCCATCGTTAAGGGTTCTGGGGAAATTTTATATCTATCTATCTATCTATCTATCTATCTATCTATCTATCTATCTATCTATCTATCTATCCGATTGTTCGTACCTATCCATCAATCTATCTATCTGTTTCTTCATCCGACTGTTCCTATCTATCTATCTATCTAACTTCTATCTATCTCTATTTCTTCATCCGACTGTTCCTATCTATCTATCTATCTATCTATCTATCTATCTATCTATCTATCTCTATTTCTTCATCCGACTGTTCTTATCTATCTATCTATCTATCTATCTATCTATCTATCTATCTATCTATCTATCTATCTATCTATCTTCATCCGACTGTTCCTATCTATCTATCTATCTATCTATCTATCTGTTTCTTCATCCGACTGTTCTTATCTATCTATCTATCTATCTATCTATCTTCATCCGATTGTTCCTATCTATCTATCTATCTATCTATCTATCTATCTTCCTATCTATCTATCTATCTATCTATCTATCTATCTATCTATCTGTTTCTTCATCCGACTGTTCCTATCTATCTATCTATCTATCTATCTATCTCTATTTCTTCATCCGACTGTTCCTATCTATCTATCTATCTATCTATCTCTATTTCTTCATCCGACTGTTCCTATCTATCTATCTATCTATCTATCTATCTATCTATCTGTTTCTTCATCCGACTATTCTTATCTATCTATCTATCTATCTATCTATCTATCTATCTATCTATCTTCATCCGACTGTTCCTATCTATCTATCTATCTATCTATCTATCTATCTATCTATCTATCTATCTGTTTCTTCATCCGACTGTTCTTATCTATCTATCAACATGGACAAAGACACGCCAGATACTTTTTCATATCACCAATTTCCATAAAACCCATACATGCAGAATCTAATGTAACCGAAGCCTTTTATTTTCACACCAGATATCCACCAATCAACATACGGACACTACCAGACAGAAGCAAAAATTCCCACTAGAAGCACACGTATTCACATTATCACCCAAAGTCTACAAGATCAAGTAGACTTATGTTGCACAAACACACAGACAGGCCAACATCACACTAACATCATCTGGTATTATACACACAGATACTAACAGATAAAAACTGCCCACTAGAATCCAAATGCGCACACACGCAGCCACGCACGCGCGCGCACACACATTTGTAGGCATTAACTCCACAAGGCAGAGACACGTGAGATCCACCTGACCAATGAGAACAAACAACACGGAACAAAAAGGACCAGAACTTTTTCTTCCATAATTCATTTCCTAAAAGTTCTGATGAAGCTTAAGTAAAAGCGAATCATGTTAAATGAATAAACGTTTCCTATTGGCTGCTTATCCTGTCTTTTCGTTAGATTTATTCTTTTCTTTATTTCTTTATATATTTTTACTCTTTCGTTTTCTTCTGTATTTCATAACTTTTTTCTCAGACTTTTTTTTCTTTCCAATCTCATACTATTCGAACCATTCCTTTTTCTTTCTCTCTTTTTTTTCTGTGTTGTTCTTTCTCTTTTATTTTCTTTCTCCTCCCCCCCCGTCTTTCTCTCTATTGCACGCACGATTATTTTCTCTTTCTCAAGTATTCTCTTCGTAATACTCCTCCTCAATTTTGCGATCTCCTTGACTTCTCCCGCACTTTTTCCTTTCCTTCTCCGATACGCCATCTTTCCATTTTCTTACTCTCTCCATCTTTTTTTGATATCCCCTTTCTTTTTCTCCTTTGTGATAAATGGTTTTTCTTTTTTTTTCTTTCTTTATACTATTGTCTTTATTTGCGTCTTATTTCTCTTTCCTTCTTTCTCTTTTTATACTTTTTATCACTTTTAAAATTTCTCAACTTCTCTCTCTCTCTCTTTCTCTTTCTTTCTCTCTCTCTCTCTCGTTCTATTCCTATCACTATTCTTTCTTCTCCGTCTTATGTTACAAACACTATATACTATCCTTCTTCTTTCTATGTTTTTCCGTCTTTCTCTCTCTCTCTCTCTCTCTCTCTCTCTCTCTCTCTCTCTCTTTCTGTCCGTCTCTTTCCCTCTCTTTCTGTCTAGGAGGTCATCTGTATCTTCTCTACAACTTCTCTCTCCACCTCCCTCTCCTTTCTCTCTCTCCCTCTCTCTTTCTCCCCTCTCCCCCCTCTCTCTCTCTCTCTATATATATATTGAGACATATCTCATTAAATAATTTAGACAAGTTTTGCATACTGATCTTAAATAGGATCGTGTCGTAATTACAAACAAGATTCCTACTATCCTTATTAAAGGAAAAAAGAAAATTACCATGTTGATCCATATTCATTTTATAAGTACTTTCGACATTAGCACAATGTCGTCATCAGGGCATGGTTGTTTTGTTTTTTTCTAAAACAAAAAATTGTTGTGTTGATCTGAAAATTAAATTTTTACCTGTAAATTGAAAAACGCTAATGTAATGTACTTTACAATTTTCAAATTTTATCATGTAGGCAAAGGTGCAAACGTCAAAGGAGGCAACTAAGTTATTGGAATGTCTAAATATTGTTTCTAAAAAAAAAAAAAAACGCTATTTAAAACTATCAGTTAAAACCTAAAATTATCTATTGTAAACATTTTAAAACATTTGTGAGTTATTTATAATTAATTTTAATAAGGTTTGGTTTAAATTTTTTTAATATAGAGAGCTTCAAGAATTTTAGTTTATGTTTATTATTTTCATGAAAATATAAATGTATTTTCAAAAAGAATTTTGTGCGAATGTCAAAACTACTCGGAATATAAAATGAATACGTATCAAAATGGTAATTGTCTTTCTAAAGGATAATAAGAAAGTTGTCTGTAATTATGAGAGGAACCTATTAAAACTTGTCTAAATGATTTAATGAGACATGTCTTAACGAAAAACATGCTGCCAAATTATACGATATATATATATATATATATATATATATATATATATATATATATATATATATATATATGTGTGTGTGTGTGTCTTGAACAATAAAAACTGTTAAAAATTAAAATTTCAGACACACTGGGTTTTATATAAACATTTTTGTTTTATTAGAATTAGGTTTGAATTATATATATATATATATATATATATATGTGTGTGTGTGTCTGTGTGTCTGTGTGTGTGTCTGTGTGTGTCTGTGTGTGTGTGCGTGCGCGCGTGCGATGTTTATTGGAAAGCGCTCAATATCAGTGATAGAGCTAATATATTTAGTTGAATGGATATATCCATTCAACTACATATATATATATATATATATATATATATATATATATATATATATATATATATATATATATATATATATATATATCTTCCTATGGAGAATATTTCTTTCTTCTCCCCAGCTATCTCTTATTACTTCTATCAAGATTTCTGTCTACTTTTACTCTCACTAGAAGCACAACTTTCTTTCTTTATCCCCCTCTCTATTTCTCTGTCTCTCTCTTTCTCTCTCAAATTCACTCACTATCTATCTATCTATCTATCTATCTAAATATGTCTAGGATATCTCTTCTCCGCGCTTTCTTTTCTATTTAATCGCCCACTCTTATCATCCATGGAGACAGCAAGTGTCTTTCTTGTGTCATGACGGGAGATATGACCCCCGCTTTACGGGCACCTACAGCCGAGAATCGTTGTAAAAACGAAATCCTGCCGTTTTAACGTCAGTTTAACTGCACGACGGGAGTAAAAAAAAAAAAAAAAAGAGAGAAAAAAATGTGACGTCTTTTCTGTCATACAAAAAAAATGGGGACATTTTCAAAATATAAGATAAAACAAAGCTTAAAATAGGTCTATAAAAGGTGCAATAAACCTGAGACCATGCTTTTTTTTATACGCAGCGCCGGCCAGGGTTAAAAAGAAAGAGACACAGATTTTAAGGAAACCCCAAAATAAATAAAATTCACTGATAGAAGTAAAAATAAATATTATCTCTGTAAGTGCTTTAGAAACACAAGAAAAATGGTTGAAATCATAAACTGAATGTGGAAAACAGCAATAAACAGGAGAAGGAACAGGAGAGATGCAATTTAGTAATATATTTTTTTTTTATGTTAATATATTTATGATTCAGAGATGATATTTATTTCAACTTACATCCTCTTGAAATCAAATGTAACACTACCAAGATGAAACATTTTTTCAATAAGTAATAGTTTCATTTAACTTGACACTTGGGTGCATAAAACATGTCAGACAAGCACCACACACGAAATCATAACAAGCAAAAATGTCACAGAGTGAAATTTACTCACGGATATTAACCGGGCATGTATTTTATTTCATTTCATTTCATTTGTTATTTTTTGGCTATGACAAAAACCCATGAATCTGGGGCATTCAACGAAGATCAGATGATGTTATATTGTTATCTACTAAACGGAAGTTAGTCTGGCACAGGTTCACATGGGATTGGTATCCTCTGAAAATTATTTTGTTTTATATATTTCTTAATTCATAATATTTATCTACGACAAAAGGCCAAGAGTTTGGAGCATCCAACGTTGGAACATCAAGCAATGTTACTGATATTTTCTAAGCTGAAGTTAGTCTGGCGTAGGGTCACAAATGCCGGAGACTCTGTGAAGATCGAACTCGTTTCATTATGATTTTTTTTAATTTTATTTTATTTATTTTTATTTCATTTATTTGTACCTTGTTTCCTGTTTAGAATTTCGTTTCCGGTTCTTTCTAAAGTCTACTTCAACTCTATATTTCTAACGTTTCGACTTGAACTCTGATATTTTATTTACTATTTATTTATTTTTCCTCAGTGGGAGTAGATAGGTTCGCCTATCACCAGGCCTAAACTCTTCCCCGGTCTTTTGAAAAGGAGTAGAGTTTTATTCCTTATTTTCTGTTTAGGAGTTGGTTTGCGATTCCTTCCAAAGACTACTTCAAATCTATACTTCTAACGTCTCCTGATAAACTCTGAAATTTGATTTAATATTTTTTTTTTTTTCTTTGATAGATTCGCTTGCCGTCCGGTTCAAACTCCTCCTCAGTATTTTGAACAGGTGTAGAGGTTTATCCTTTTTTTTCTTGTTTAGAATTGAGTCTCTAGTTCTTTGTAAAGTCTTTTCATTTACTATCACTCCCGGTACCCCCTCCCTTGCGTCTTAGTGGCATTTTCGCCTTGCTTGGGGGGAAATGATTTAAAAAACTACATGTTTATTCATTTAATTATCTGCGAAAAAAGGCCACGAATCTGGGGTATCCAATACTTGCTAAATTGAAGTTAATCTGATACAAGGGCAAAAAATAAGGGGGAGACCAAGTGAAGATCGAACTAATTCCAGTATTATTTGATTTGCATTCATTTTTTATTTTCATTTTATTTATTCATATATTGCTACGGTATGAATCTGGAGCATCCTGATAATAAGGGGAATTAGGCAATAAGGAATATTTCCCGGTATATTCCCCTATTATAGGCATTAATAAAGGGTGTTCCCTATAACTTGGACCGATTTTAAATGTGAATTAAGTTTAAGCGTCTAATGATTTTTTTTCTTTTTCTTTCAGATTTAACAGCTTAAGTTTTTGGCAATTTCAAACATGAAAAGATTGACAATCAAACAACGTGTTAAAGTAATCAACAGCCTATTACGAAAATGAACGTTCAAACAGAAATGCATTTCGTGCACTTCGTGATTTTTTGGGTCAACATAATCGACCAACCGAGAGTGCAGTTGGAAACGATGTAACGTTGTTGTGGAGAGATTCAATTCCCGCGCACGATGACGGATAGAGGTATCTGGATTTTCGGCCACATTCTCGTGCACTGCAGCAATGTTTTCAGCCGATCGGCGTAAACGAGCACGCAGTGGTGTTTTCACACCTGCCACCGACCCAGTTTGTTTGAATTTACGAACAATTTTTCCAATTGCACTCTTTAAACTTTAACATGCTGTTTGATTGTTAATCTTTCCATCGCTAAAATTTCCAAAGACTTAAGTTATTAAATCTGAAAGAAAAAGGAAAAAAATCATTAGACGATTAAACTTAATTCACGCTTAAAATCGGTTCAAGTTATTAGAACATCCTTTATATCCGTGATATACTAACACCTTAATACACGGACAGAACAGAATAGCTGAAAGAAAGGAATGACAGGATGTATTGTTCTCAGAGATTTTTATACTGATATATACATACTCCTCACAAATTTATCCCACACAGTGAAACTATAACACATGTGCGCAACAAGCAGTCGAGAGAGTCTTACTTGTAATATTTCTCAACAGATAAAAGGGCAGGTCGGTGGTGTCCTTTATGTTTCTGATGAGACCATGTGGGTTCCTCCGTTAACCTTACCGTTGTGGACTTGTGTTGCCTGTCTTCTTCGCAGACGACATAGAATAACTGACCTGGACAGTCACGTCTAGCCCCAGGGCGTGATAAATAGCAAACTGCCTTCAACATTAGGAACTGGCGTCATTCACTGGGCGTCAACTGACTTCGTCTCAACCAAAGTAAGATAATTGCTCGTTGCCTCCCTATAAAGCGATGATCAGACGTTAATCTGAAGTTAGTCTGACACAGGCTCACAAACAGCGTACACTCCATGAAGTTCGCATTCATTCCAGCATAATCTGCAAAACAAACATATTAGTCTCATCTACGTTGCCATGCTATTATTAATAATACTTCTGTAGTATAACAGATGTTGAATTTAGTTTAAGGAATGCACAAAAACAGAAAGAGAAGTAAGACAAGGATGAGACTTCTCACCGGATTTATTTAGCATATCGAGCGACATGATTCTACATGAACTAGAAAACATTCTTGAATTTATTTATTGGGGGACATATTCTTAACAATAT